TTAGTTCTTTTGTACGAACTGAAAACTTCAGTCAGTTCATAGGTTCCCGTTGTAATTCAGAACACACTTTGTGTAACATGTTTAATGTTATTATTTTTTTTTTCTATAATTTATTTATTGTGTCGAAAATACCGGGTTATTTGCAACAACACCACCATCTACAAGATCGAATTTTGTCCCTTTGTTCTCAAAATAGTGAGGAGGGAGGAAAGTTGGTGCAGCTGAGGTGCTGATGCATATATCTGATAACAGAGCATCCATTGCAGAGTCCTTTGGCGCCTACCAAAAAAAAAAAAAAATCAGTCAAAATAAGCAAAACACTTTAATAACCTGCAAAATTAAAATTAGGCAAAATTGCATTTTTAGTCATGCCGGTTTAATGTTGCAACATTTTTTGTCCCAATATTTTGACACTTTGTCATTTGATCCTGTAATTTAGTATTTTGCAGTAATTTCAGTCTTTGAGACTGAAATTGCAACAAAATTTAAAATTACGAGACTTAAATTGCTAATCAGAAATCCATTCATAATTGATCATACCGTATAAGAGCTAAAAATGGCTGGTTGAAGTTTCTTGATATCAAATGATGTAATGACAACATTGGTTAAGGTCTCATGCAACCTTGTGTTGCCCAGCATTTGTCTTGTTAGAGCGTGGAGATACTTTCCATTGTATTTTGGCCCTATAAAGCCCTTCACCTTACTCATCAAACCTGTAAATGGGTCCCTGCAGTTTTACACATATATTCAATCAAATTATGTGGAATAAAACTAATTAGCCCTAGTAAATGCTTTGAAATTTGTTGAAATTTTATTTCTTGACACAAGACATTTTTAAAATTAGCTAAAACATGATTCAACGAGTCGAATCATGTTTGAGGTCTAAACGAGTGGAATCGAGCCAGGCTCTGGAGATGATTCCAGTTGATCAAGATTTGTAAAGCATTGACCCGCTGGGTCGTCTGTTGGTCTTCTAATTTGACGTATAAACGAGTCGAATCGAGCCGAGCCAGGCTCTGGAGCTTTTTCGGCTCGTTTACTAAACGAGACAATAAACATGTTTTAATCCAACCCGCTTATCAATATTAACGAGCAAAGCTCAGGACTAACAGCTCTACTCCTAAAGTAGGACCTAATGTACTACAAGTCTACAATAGAATTATTCACTATTTGTAGTAAAAATGACCCACACATATATATATTTTACTAACAGTAAAAGGAACAAAAATAATTTTACCTGGGCTGAGGAAAAATGTTAGGCGAGTGTTCCAAATAGAAAGGAACTAAATCCTTGGCGGCATAAAGCGGTCTGTTAGTAATTTTTTCAGGCGCCGTCAGCATACACGTCACCAGCCCTCCGGTGCTCGTCCCTGCAATTACATCGAAATAGTCTGCAATTCGCACGCTTTCACCATCCAGCTCCTACGTACATACATCGATTTATCCAACTAAACTAAAAAACGTGTTTGCAAAAAAGCAACTTCAAATATGCCTTTTTTTTCCCACTCAAATTAAACTGGAAATCTCTCCTTATATATTAATTCAAAATGTGTTGAGTCTAGATGGCAGATTTTCACGATTCGAATGCTGACATGGCGAAAATCTATGCTTCGTGATGTTGTTTTTATATTATTTTTGCTCTGGAGTTAGATTTGATATTAAACATAAATAACTTTACACATATATTCATTAACTCAACGCCTCATGTTGTACATGAGTATTAATAATAGTAGTTTATTTATTACCTGGAGCTGGGATTCTAAATACGCGAGCAGAACTCCCGGGATAATACCTCGTATGCCTCCGCCGTCGATGCTGAGGACCGTTATGAGATTTCGAGTATTTGGAGGATCATTTTGCAAATTTGGTGGTTGATTGTTATTTTCCTCCATTTTGGATATTTTGAAATTTCACGATTGACGAATGGTATTACTGTTATGTGGTTTTGCAGGTATTACTGTTATAGTGTGAAGAAAGCCTGTGGAAAGCTGTAAAGAGTTGTCAAAATTTTTAAATTAAGGACAGATCATAGAGGCATTTATTTATATTAATTACATTAATTAATTAAAACTCTAATCTCCGTCTGGATGCTTTTGTAAGCAATAATTGGCTATATAGTTTGCTGACTTTGCTTTATTGCTTGTTGATTAGCCCAAATATTCTCAATGTCGACGTGGGGCACTCGAATAAAGGACTTTTTCTCACCCGAGACAATAGGATGGAAACCTGAGCGTACCACTCTGAGTACTCTTGACGCAGTAGAAAACGTACGATGGGAACAATATGAATTCTCAGAAGAACTCAAGAGAGATATTTTATTTCAATCGTAAAAACTGAATAACAATGAGTTTTCTGCCCCTTTAAATAAGCTCTCCACCCTAACTTATTTAAAGCAGTAAATTTCCTAAACATAGGAAATAAATAAAAGGGAATAAATAAAAGGATAAAATACTAAATAAATAAATAGCTAAATACGAAGAGGGTCAAACTTGTCCAAGTACGCCAATGCGATCTCGTCGCCATCATTCTCCCCGGGTTGGGGAGGATTCGCCCTCGAATTCGGAGGGATCTAATCGTCCGAATTGTCGCCATGAAAAGGAACAAGGTGCTTGACGTTAAAAACGTCCGAAGTGCGAATGTGAGAGGGAAGACGCAAGCGATAGGCGTTGGGGTTAATTTTCTGCAAGATTTCCAGAGGCCCAATTTTCCGTGCCGACAACTTGTTATACTCGTGAGCCGGAAAACGATCCCTAGTCAAAACAGCCCACACGAAATCGCCCTCCTCGAACTCCACATGGCGCCGCCAGCGGTCAGCCTGCCGCTTGTACTCGCACGTGACCTGCTCCAGACGGGCCCGGGTCGCCTCATGCGTCCGTCGCAAGTCAGCCATCATGTCCTCGGCGCGGCGGTAAACATCGCCCGGGGCCAGCAATGCCAGCAAATCGGCCGCGGCTGCACGGAGTAGACGATCTGAAAAGGTGAGAAACCTGTGGCCCGGCACACCGCCGAATTATGAGCAAAATCCGCTTGAGGTAAACGGTTGTCCCAACTTTTCACGTTGTCCCCGACCAAACAACGAAGCAGATTACCAAGGGACCGATTGACAACCTTAGTCTGCCCATCCGTCTGAGGGTGATAGGCACTACTGAAATCAAGGCGGGTGTTAGTCATGCGCGAAAGGCTCCGCCAAAAGAAACTCAGAAAACGTGTATCGCGGTCTGAGACAATAGATGAAGGGAGCCCATGTAGACGATAAATCTCACGAAAGAATAGTTGGGCGACGTGAAGAGCATCTGTCGTGCGCCGGCACGGAATAAAGTGGACCATCTTCGAGAAGCGGTCCACAACCACAAAGATGGAATCGAACCCGCGCTGAGTCCGGGGCAGTCCCACCACAAAATCCATGCTGACGGCACTCCAAGGCTGAGTAGGAATCGGTAAAGGCCGATAGAGGCCCGCATTAGTCGACCCGCCCTTGGACACTTGGCAAATACGACAGTGTTCGACAAAACGAGACACGTCCCTCCGCAAGGAAGGCCAGAAAAATGACCGATGGACTAACTCCACCGAACGGTCCCGGCCGAGGTGACCGGCACCATGCAAATCGCCCACCAGCTTCAGACGAAGACTGCTGTCAGGGATACACAAGCGGAGACCACGAAAAAAGAAGCCATCATGCAACATATAATCCTCGAACGGGCCCGACGCAAGGCGAGTAACAATGGGCCCAAAGAAAGGATCGGACGCATATAAGTCGCGAAGGACGTCAAAGCCAACAACCTGCACTCGCATATCCGACAACACGAGGACACGCCGACTAAGGGCATCCGCCACGCGATTAGAAGCCCCCGAACGATGCTGCAGGACAAACGTGAATTGCTGTAAAAAGGAAGTCCACGTGGCATGGCGGGAAGAAATGTTGTCCTGAGAAGACAGATGACGAAGAGCCTCATGATCGGAAAATAAAACAAACTCACGGTGGAAGAGATAGTGTCGCCAATGCTGGACAGCACGATACACAGCATAAAACTCCACGTCATAAGTACTATACCAAAGCCGCGGGCCAGAAAGCTTCTCACTAAAGAATGCGACCGGGCGGGACTCCTGACTCAGAACCGCCCCAATGCCGACCTTAGAAGCATCACAGGAAAGCTCAAAAGGTCGACAAAAGTCAGGCAAAACCAAGACAGATGCCGAAGTAAGACGATCCTTGATCAGTGCAAAGGCCTCGGCCGCCTGCGGTGTCCAAACGAAAGACTTCCCGGCAATACAGTCTGTGAATGGGGCCATGATGGAGCTAAAATGAGAGATGAAACGACGGTAGAAGGAGGCGAGGCCATGAAAGCTACGGGCCTCAGTAACCGTCGTAGGTGGCGGCCAGTCCCGAATGGCGGCAACCTTCCCGGCATCCACACGAATACCATCCGCTGAAATAACAAAGCCAAGAAAAAGAACCGAATCCACCAAGAACACACATTTAAGCGGTGCAACATAAAAGGACTCAGCACGAAGAATAAGAAGTACCTCTCGCACGTGGCCCAAGTGTGCCTCCAACGACTGGCTGTAAATAAGAATGTCGTCGAAGTAAACGACCACACATTTACCGATAATATCCCACAAAGCCTGGTTCATTACTCGAATAAAAGTGCTTGGGGCATTAGACAAACCAAATGGCATAACCAACCACTCAAAAAGGCCCTCGCGAATCTTGAAAGTTGTCTTCCATTCATCACCCGGGCGAATACGCATCTGATGATAGCCACTCTGGAGATCAAGCTTGGTAAAAATGGTGGCCCCGTACAATTGGTCCAAAAGATCGTCTAATCGAGGGATAGGGAAACGATAACGGACCGTAATTTTATTGATGGCCCAGCTGTCCACACACATACGCCAAGAACTGTCCTTCTTCAGGATCAACAGGGCCGGAACAGAACATGGACTGAGGCTACGGCGGACCACCCCCTTCTGTAAAAGCTCCTCGACCTGCCTACGTAACTTCTCATGCTCCGTAGGGCTCATACGGTAATGTGGGCGATTAGGAAGGACCGCCCCCGGCACCAAGTCAATGTGGTGCTGAATATCACGTAAAGGAGGCAACACGAGAGGTAACTCAGAAGGAAAGACATCAGTGAACTCGTCTAACAAAGGCTGAATGGCTGGTGGTATCGATGCACTGTCAGGGACCTCGGTATGTAAAATTAAAAGGACAATGGGTGCCTCACGCATCTCCGCCTCTAAAGCTGACCGCGAGAGGAACAAGACCGGAGAAGCCGCCGGCTGAGGCAAAGGGCGAGGAGGAGCTGACTGCAAAATCATCTTAACACCGTCAAATGTGAAAGTATAGGTGTTAAGACGACCATCATAAAGAACCGAGCGGTCAAAGAGCCAAGGGCGCCCCAACAGCAAGTGGCAGGCATCCATCGGGAATACGTCGCACAAAATCTGATCACGATAAGACGCTCCAATAGAGAAAGAGACCAAGACCCGGCGGTTAACAGTCACACCACTGCCACGGTTGATCCAAGCTAAAGTGTAGGGACGGGGATGCGGCTCCGTGGACAACCGAAGTTTAGACACTGTCTCATCGGCCAAAACATTCTCACAAGACCCGGAGTCCACGATAAAGCGGCACACACGATCACCAATAGTACATGTGGACTCAAACAACTGATGTCGTTGGCTGGAAGAATCCGAATCGCCATGGGGAGACAAACAAGAACGCCGCAGCACAAGACACGTGCCAACATCACCACTATGATCCTCAACATTCTCCAACGGCTCCGTATCAAACACCGGAAGTCCATCATAAGCGAGATGGTCATCATGCTCACCATCCCCGTCAACAAATAATTGTCGGCCCCCGGTTGAATGAGGACACGAGGTCTGGCGATGGCCCACCTCGCCACAAGAAAAACAACGGAGACCACCACCCGGGCGAGGACCCACCTGCGCCGTCGTCACGCCGGAGGACAACCCTGAGGGCGCGGGACCCACGCGTCCGCATGCCGGACTGGCTGCCGTTCCCGGAACCGTGGCAATTTTTGTCGGGCTTGACGTCGAGGGGCTGAAACGGGTTGCTGGAGAAAAAACCGCGGAGGTCCGACGCGATAGTTGTTGCTCGGCCAGGAGAGCACGTTGGTGAGCATCCGAAAGAGTGACTGGCATGAACACGTTAACGGTATCCTGAATCGCAATACGAAGCCCGCTAATGTACCGGGAAATTAGCTGCACGGTGGTTTCTCGGCTATCAATACGGGTAAGCAATCTGTAAAACTCTTCAGTGTAATCATCAACCGAACGGTTACCTTGACGAAGGGCTTGAAACTTTTGATACACCACACTGACATAATTAAATGGCAAAAATTCTTCTTCCATATTTCTACGAAATTTAGCCCAAGAAGTAATAGGAGATTTACCCAAACGATGTCGTCGTTGTTGAAGCTGAATAAACCAAGCCGAAGCTCGACCACGTAAGCGAGTCGCGGCCAGCCCCACGCGGCGATCAGCAGGCACCTGCTTGAAATTGAGGGTCGTCTCCACTGCTCCAATCCAGTCCAGAAAATCGCCGGCATCGAGACCGCCTGAGAACTCCGGCAAATCAACACGAAAGCCGGCCTCCCAGCGCGAGTTCGCGCCCTCCGCTGCACGGCGGTGACCGCGGACGTCATCCTCGTTGTCCTCGCCACGGTCGTCGTCGTCCCAGCGGACACGTCGGTCACCGAAGGGGTTGATATCCGGCTGTGTCTCGTCGTTGCTGTCATGGCCAGGAGACGAAGGTGGCGAGCGTCGACAGTGCGCCCCGTCGAAGCCCCTTCCGCCGCGTCTGCCTCGAGCCCCGCCGCGACCCGCCCGGCCTGCTGGGTCACGGTCCGCCGTCCCTTGCGCCATCATCATCCGCATAGCTTCCCGAATCTCATCGATCCCCTCTGCGAGACCTTCAACCCTACGATCAACCCGATCAATTTGAAACCCTAGATCATCCGTTCTTCGATCCAAGTCTTCCAAATGAGCATCTTGTCGGTCATTATCTCGTTTTGGCGGCATCTTGAATCGGTCTGACTCTGGATACCAACTGACGCAGTAGAAAACGTACGATGGGAACAATATGAATTCTCAGAAGAACTCAAGAGAGATATTTTATTTCAATCGTAAAAACTGAATAACAATGAGTTTTCTGCCCCTTTAAATAGGCTCTCCACCCTAACTTATTTAAAGCAATAAATTTCCTAAACATAGGAAATAAATAAAAGGGAATAAATAAAAGGATAAAATACTAAATAAATAAATAGCTAAATACGAAGAGGGTCAAACTTGTCCAAGTACGCCAATGCGATCTCGTCGCCATCAACTCTCGAGCGACCGCCCCTCGATCATGTGTGGTAGGGGTCAATATTCTGTTGTGGATATTCGCCACCATCGGGAATTGCCTCCACATACCTACTGCAGCAGCATCAACATGCTCAACCTTGTATAGTCTAGACTTCTAAACACGTACTGTAGTGGTTGGCAGGATCATGGGGGGAAGACAGTCTGTACGAAGCCCTGCTGACGCAAAATCTGCACAGGTAGGTACGGATCCACAATATCGCGTTACCGAATGAATTCGCTATAAAGGGTCTTATGCTTTATCGAATATGGGCTGCAGCTGTATGGCAATAATTTCACCTGTTCACAATTGCATACAAATATTTATTAAAATAATTCTATTATTTTATATAACTTGTAACTAAATTTAAATAAAATATGAAATTATGGAACGATATACACAAACAACCAGAATAGCGCTAAAGAATAAAACAGTAAACTTAAGTAAGTTCACACAAATGCAGAAGCAAAGATACTTAAAATTGAACCTTCAAGAGAGCATCTTACTCTCCTTTCAGATCTCTTTCATCAATGTGGATCTCATAGTCATTACTCATGGATTTACAATGCAGACTCCCTCTATACTATACTTGAAGCAATTAACTACCTACACAACTACTTATCTGACCACAAGTCCCTCGTGATTTTTCTAGTTTGACTCCCTCAAACTAATCTGAGTGAACCTCCGAACACTCAATTAAGTTTAACAACATTTTACTCAAAGTGATCAAAAACACCCTCTTGAATCACTACTCAATCAAAATAAAGAAAACAACTCACGAAAATGAAGAACACTCTCATCAAATAAAATGAAAAGATATTCGTCAATATTTTTTTTCTTCCTACATTTCCCAACACTTATATCCTGATGCACATATGGTAGGTGAAACATATCTTTGCTGCCAAGCCACGCTACATAAGGCAACTTCTTAATTGATTATGCCGCCTCCCATTTAGGAATGCTTGACTCATGCAGCTGAACCTTCCTCATAAAGAAGGTTCATCTGAAAGGCAATCTAATTACTCCTGCATAAATAATAAAAGCATTAGTTAATTCAATTAACTAATATTTAGAAAATTAGTCTATACTAGTATTCAACCCGTGCCTTTGCACGGAAAGCGATTTATCACAATGAGTAAGTAATATAAGTATATTAACAAAATAACATTTTAATCAACGAAACATTTACAATTGAAAATAATTCTAAATATTATTACATACTTATTTATATACAACATTTATTGTTATTTTTTCAATAGAATTCCCTTCGTCACAAATCATCATCTTCAAACCCTTCCGATTCTTGGCTTTCGAAAAAGCGACGTACAACTGACCATGACTGAAGACGGGGTTCTTGAGTAGTAAGCCGACATGCGATAGAGACAGACATTGACTCTTATTGATTGTCATAACATAGAAAACCGTAACAGGAAAATTGAGGACACTGAAACTTGAACAGTATCATCAAATCAGAAGGTATGATAGTGAGCATAGGAATGAGAACCTTATCACCAGCTCTAGCACCGATTAAAATTCTGCATTTGAAGAAATAATTGTTGAGCTTAGTAATAACCAAACATGTATCGTTGCATAACCCCATTGAGTGATCAGTTTTTCTCAGCAGCATCACTGAAGTGTCGACCTTCAAGTGCAATTTATGATTCAGTAGTTCTGAGCACTTAATCCCATTCAGAAATTCAGGAGTATGAGATCTTAAAGAGAGTCATATCCAACATCTGACTTGCAAGTTGTGTCCGAGTAGAGATAAGTCCATCCCTCACAAGAGTTCAATGAGCAAAAATATGGACTTAAATAATAGTGTAAAGAAAAAAGTAAAAGTTTACCATTTTTGAGGGATGAATTTGAAGAACCGGCAAATAACGTTGTTTAGCGTTGGTCACAGTCAACCGTATTTTTACGTGGTTCTATTTTCAGTGTCATGCGTTGTTAGGTCATTAGTGATATTAATTATAGAGTTACATTGAGACAAACGATCGAAATTACCATTTCTACTCCCTTATAGGAAAAAAACAATGGCAGTAAGTTTAATACTAAAACAACGTATTTTGATATGCTTGTTAAATGCAAATAGAAAAATGATATAAATACATTCGCTAAGTATGCGGTACATATTTTTTACTATATGGTATAACAATAAGATGATACTTGATTTAATAATACTGGCCATTCATACAATTTTTCCACAACTTAAAAATTTATCCCAACATAATACAAATTAGTTCAAAACTGCTTCAACTCTTTTTTTTTTTTTTTTAATTAACAGTGACCGAAATTATATAAAGGCCCCAAAATTAAAAACGGCCCAGTATCATTAAACGGGTAAAAGGGGTTGTAAAATAATCCCAATAAAAACAATATTAGATCAAAACAGCTAGTATAAGTTTTTAGTTTGTTCAATTGACATTGCCCAATATAATTGAAGGGCACTAAATAAAAATAGATCCAATACATTAAATGGTAAATACATGTAGAAGGTTATGGTACATTGATTTTACCAAAAAAAAATATTTACGTAGGAAACTCACAATATATTAATATAATGAAATTCTAATTCAAATAATTCTTATCTTTTATTGGGCCTAAACTCATATACATATATTACTGCTTGGCAGCCCATATATATGAAAATAAACCCCAGTCAAAATAATTATTTTTTTACCTTTACTTTTTAATGTAAAAAAAAAAAAAAAAAAAAACTGAGGTCTTGGATAAGAGCCTAGTTCCAATTCCAATAATATAAAAAAAAAAAAACCCTAAACGTAGACGCCTCATTCATGCCTCTTTGTTTTTCTTCTCTTCCCCCAATATTTCTCTTTCCCAGATCTCAAAATTTACTCCGCTTGCTTTTGCCAATTTTCACCGACTATTACCTTACTTTTTAATTGCATACGACTGCGTGAATTTGAAATATATTTGGAATTTCAGCCGTTTTATCTCAAGAGCCTTTGAAATTTGAGATTCCTACCGAGCTTACATTTTTTTCGACCCGGTTAAGCTTACCGAGTTCTTAAGTATAGAACATTGGTAAAATCGATCAATATATAAAAATTTATGTTGTTTTCTTTGTTTTTTCATAAATTAATGTTTCAATTTATGAATAAATTTTTTTAATATGTTTGTTTTGTATTTAGATTTTCAATTGTTAATCGCATTTTCATACCTCAAATCCTATTTTCCTGGAATTTTATTGAAGATCCCATCCGACTTTCAAAGGTTAGAACCATTTTTTTTTATCACTTTAGATCTGGTGTTTGTTTGCAATTCTCATGAAATACAGTGTTCACATATTGGATATTTAAAAAAAAAAATTAAGAGATCCTAAATGAATTTGTTTTTCCAAGCAAAATCTTATTAAACAACTTGTTACACATCTGATATTCAAATGTCATACATCTTTTCGAGTCAGATCTGAAAAGCTTGAGTGTAACTTTTTTGTTTTGAATTCTTTTTTAGCCTTGAGGTTTTTTTTTTTTTTTTTACTTCGAGTGATTGTTTGAACTAAAAAAATCATAAAGCCATTTACACATCTTTTCTTCTTTTGAATCGGGGGTCAAACACTCATCCACGTCTTGTTTGCCTAAAATCAAGCACAAGTAACGTCTTTTATATTTTATCTTTCTCTTTTTTTTTTTTTTTTTGGTAGCTAACCATTTTTTCCGTAATAATGGACTGGAAACAGAATTCCATGTCACGACTGCAGATGACAAAATCGATCAATATATAAAAATCGATCAATAATATGTTATATTTTCCGTCATTTATTCACTTGTTGTTCTTCATTAATATTTATTAATTTATGATGTGTTAAATCAATTGATTAAAAGCAGTTTTTAGAGTAAAAAAAGATTATTGTTAATTGTGGCAACTAAATAAATTGTTAAGAAAATCAATCAACAACGTGTAACAGCAGATGAAAGAAGTCAATCAAATGAGATTTATTGCCAATATTAACATTCAACATTAATCCATATGTTTGTGTGATAAAAAAAAAATAAAAAACATAAATAAATGAAAAGTAACGTTTTTAGGCGGGAAATGCCAGCTAGGTATAATTTAATAGGTTTAATTTAATGTTCATATGCTAGTAATTATATATATATAGATGATATAAAACAAACTTCCCTTAGATATTCATCCGCAACATATTTCTTATGACAAATGAAGGTTCGTCGATTTACTGTCAACCTTCAAAAAGCTTACAAAATAAAATAACGTACTATCGGAGGCGGTATTAATCGTGAATTCTTTTCAATGATAACACTTGTGAATTCTTTTAATGAAATATAATGATTTTTTTTTTTGCAACTAACCATTTAGATCTATACATTAATGAAATATAATGGTTAGAAAAATATGAAGAAATTGTATTATTAGTATATGCAATCCGCTTTTCACGCGTATTAATCGTTATTACAATCCTAGTCAACGTTAGTTAGCGAAACGAGAAGCATGTAGACTTGTCAAAAGAGGCCGAGCCCGCGGGCCGGCCCGCCCCGCACCGCCAAAATAGTGAGCCGGACTAGGATATTAGAGGCCCGCTTGGGATGTCCGATATCACCTCGCGCTCCGGGTGCCGGGGACTCCAGATTCCAACGACTGTCTCGTGGCTCCGTGGATCTCCGCGAGTCTGACTCTGAAGTGGCTCGCAGCGTGCGGT